AGTCTATCCGTCTTTGGGATGTCAAAACAGGATAATAAAAAGTCAAATTAGATGGTCATACTAGTCATGTTGTGTCAGTCTGTTTCTCTCCTGATGGAAATTAATTAGCTTCCGGTAGTTATGATAAATCTATCCTAATATGGGATGTCAAAACAGGATAATAAACAGCCAAATTGGATGGTCATGCTGATTATGTCAACTCAGTCTGTTTCTCTCCTGAAGGAAATACATTAGCTTCTGGTAGTTATGATAACTCAATCCGTCTCTGGGATGTCAAAACAGGATAATAAAAAGCCAAATTTGATGGTCATACTCATCATGTCTACTCAGTCTGTTTCTCTCCTGATGGAAATTAATTAGCTTCTGGTAGTTATGATAACACTATCCGAATATGGGATGTCAAAACAGGATAAACAACAGCCATATTGGACGGTCATACTTCTTTTATCCACTCAGTTTGTTTCTCTCCTGATGGAAATGTATTAGCTTCTGGTAGTTATGATGAATCTATCCGTCTCTGGGACGTCAAAACAGGATAATAAAAAGCTAAATTGGAAGATCATTCTAATTATGTTATTTCCGTCTGTTTCTCTCCTGATGGAAATATATTAGCTTCCGGTTGTTATGATAATTCTATCCGAATATGGGATGTCAAAACAGGATAATAAAAAGCCAAATTAGATTGTCATAATAATGGAATCTAGTCTGTCTGTTACTCTCCTGATGGAAATACATTAGCTTATGGTAATGATGATAATTCTATCCATCTATGGGATGTAAAAACAGGATAATAAATTGAATCTTCTGATAAAAATTACAAAGATATTTTAACATAATTTAAGATTCCACTCCAACAAAATAGTCCAATTTTAGAAGGTAAAATTTATGTTTTTCATATTTTTAGTTCCCAATTACATTACGACACTTCTTATTTCCCAAAAGGCAATATTCAAATCTAAAGGGGCTTTAATACTGAAAGGAGAATTTTTTAATCAATCAGGTATTGATATAAAGTCATTATTTAAAAAAAAAGGAAGTTGCATTATAGAAGGATTTTAGTAGTAGCGAATTTGATAATTTATCAGCAACAATACAATTATATTTACAATAAATTTCTAACATTTTTTATTATATCTTTTTAAGCTCAATTCTTGATCTTCACTTCTTAAGATAAACCTGTACATATTTTTCAAATTTATTATTCTATTTTTATTAAATATAGGGAGTATTTATTTAGATATGATTTACAACATTATCAATTAGTATTATATTTAAAATTTAAATGGAGCTATATTAAAAAATATTCTACAGGTATTTTTTTAGGTAATATTGAGCTCATCAAAGATGCTCTATTAGGAAAATTACATTTAATTTAAAAAAAAGTAATTTTTATTAAATCATCAAGGTAGTTATAATAAATTTGCTTAATCTAATATTAATTGTAAAAAAGGTAACTTTAATATTTTTAGAATTGTTTTTTTTTTTTGTTTATGAATAGGAAAAGAATAATTAATAACAGAGTTAATAAAAAGATAAAAAAATGAATTTAAAAATAAAGTTGATCCTTGATTTTTTAAGTCATGAATTTAAACTATTAGGTTTACTAATACTTTTTATTATATATATAAAAGGTATTTCTGAATATAAAATACTGTAAAAATAAATTAAAATAAGTATGATATTCCTAAAAGGATTAAAATTTAGGATATCATTATATATACCTTATATTTTAATTAGAAGAAATCACAACCTACTAATCTTTACTGATGATTATCGAATTGATGCTAAAGCT